GGAGAGCAGGAGACTGAGCTGGACCACAGGGAGGGTGGGGTGCATTCGTGTGACCGTAAATGATGGCAACACTGCATTTGCTGACCCTCCTCCTTCACTCGTGGTCACTGCAGTCCTGATACCTTGGTCCTTCTAAGTTTGGACTTTATCTGAGTGACAAACAAATGGATGTTTGAGAAGAAAAGACAACTCCCTAAACTCAGACACTGTTTTCCAAGTATTTAAAGATATGTATGCATTGGAAAAGACCCTGATTGGGAAAGATTGAGGGCAAAAGGAGAAGAAGGCGAGAGGGTGAGATGGTTAGATAGCATCACCAACTCAATGGACATGAACTTCAGCAAACTCCAGGAGATAGTGGAGGACAGGGAAGCCTGGTGTACTGCAGTCCATGGGGTTGCAAAGAGTCAACACGACTTAGCAACTGAACAATAACAATGAAGCTTCAGCTGCTGTCCTGGTTTGGCAGAGAAACGTGAATATTTTTACAGGAAAAAAAGTGCAGAGAAGTGAATTAGGAGATATTTTTGTGCCTCTTGATGATAAGTTCTTGCTAAACTTGGCCCAGTGAAGGGATCCTAAAGAAGAACTCTTTCTGGCAGCCTGGATGATGGCTAATTCACATCTCCTGCTTTTGTGTACACTAGATTGTCCTGGTTCTGTAGATGGAAACCACCAAAATACTTTGAAAATTTCAGTGTAGTCAGACTCAACTGTACGTTCAAAGCTCCTAGGCCTATTAGGTGTTCATTGAGTGTTTGTTAAAGAAATAAATCAATAAGTGATTACAGCATACATCTAAATGTATGGGTGTGGGGTGGGGGGTGAGGGGAGGGAAAGAGGGAGACGGAGAGAAAGAGGTTGTGGTCAGATCTTGTATTCTGTTTCTTCTTATGATAAAATTTGCATCCAATAATGTGCTGGGTTTTTTTTTTTAACCGAATCACCATAACTGAAAAGCTTTAATACCAGGCGTTCTCTTTTCAGTTTTGCATGAAGCTACATGAAGGATCAGATCAGGCCTCCCAGGTGTCTCAGTGGTAAAGAATCCACCTGCATTCAGGGGTTCGGTCCCTGGGCTGGAAGACCCCCGGAGAAGGAAATGGCAACCCTCTCCAGTATTCTTGCCTGGAGAATGTCATGGACAGAGAAGTCTGGCAGCTACAGTCCATGGGGTCTCAGAGTCAGACAAGACTGAGCGACTAAACAACATGAAGGACCGTGCCCTGGTGAGAAGCAGTAACACACAGTGATGGTGAAGAGCAGGGGCTTTGAGTCAAACTGCCTGCACATAAATCGCAGTCCTGCTACTTACTGGTATGTGAACCTCAGGCAAGTGACTAATACCCTCTTGTGCCTAAATTTCCTTCTCTGTAAAATGGGGAAAATCATTATAGTACCAACATGGGGCTGTCATGAGTATTAGGTGATGTTAACATAATTAAACACCTTGGCGCACTGCCTGGCACATAGCAAGTTCTCAATAAATGTCAGCTGTTACCATGGTTAAATACAGGAATTAAGAAGCACTGAAGGTTTTTATATGCACTTCTGTTGATGTCCTATGACTGACCTAACAATGGCTCACACCCTGGGTGGCCTGAAACAACAGAAATTTATTCTCTCGCAGTTATAGTGGCTTGAAGTAAAAAGCAACATGTTATCAGGGCCACACATCTTCTGAAGTTTCCAGGGGAGGGTCTTCCCTTGCTTTCTTAAGCTTATGGGGGCCCCATGTGTTCCTGGCCCACCCTAGTCCAGGATGACCTCACATTAATTACATCTGTAAAGAGCCTATTTCCAAACAAGGTCACATTCTGAGGTTCCGGGTGGACCTGCGCTTGGCAGAGGGGGATGGTATTCAATCCGTGATTGTATTCAGCTACAAACACTTAACACAGAAATTGCTGTGGCAGCAATAGGTCTGTTACTTTCCCTCTTGCTTGAAAACAGAGAGAGGACAAAGAGAGAGTTTGCTTCTAACCATGTTGTTAATTTCTGGTTAGAAATAAAAATGAGGTTAATAGTCATAAATGTGTTTTGAGGTTTGACTGTCCAAGAAGGAATAGGTCTGTTTAGAGAAGTCAACCAGGCATGTCCAGGGGTCCCCAGTGGGGGTCCCTACTAATGCTGGGTATGACAGACCCACAGCCAAGCCTTCCATGTAAGCTGGGTTTGCCCTGCTCCCAGAGGCATCTACGTCTCAGCCAACGGGCTGCCAAGGAACCGTCCATGGGATGGTGCTGTCTGCGCTGAGTGAAGTGGTGGCTATTGGCTGGGCATTCTAAGAAGAGGGGACATTGCACAGTTATCTGTAGAGACGAGATGACTGGCTCTGAGGTGTAGTTACAGAGTTCCTGGGAGGCCCTCATGCTCTCTGGGTTTCCCTTGTGGCTCAGCTGGTAAAGGATCCANAGATGAAATGATAAAGATGTGGTACATGTAGATAAATGGAATACTATTCAGCCAGAAAAAATAATGAAGTAACAACATTTGCAGCAACATGGATGCAACTCGAGATTATCATACCAAGTGAAGTTACTCAGAGAAAGACAAACACCATATGATATCACTTACATGTGGAATCTTAAAACACAGCACAAATGAACCTGTCTGCAAAACAGAAACTGACTCAGAGACCCAGAGAACAGAACTGTGGTTTCCAAGGGGGAGAGGGAAGGAAGAGGCATGGACTGGGAGTTTGGGGTTGGTAAATGCAAACTACTGCATTTAGAATGGATAAACAAGGTCCTACTGTAAAGAACGGGGAACTATATTCAAAATCATGTGATAAACCATCAAAGTTCAAGTCACTCAGTCATGACCGACTTTCTGTGACCCCATAGACTATACTGTCCATGGAATTCTCTCGGCCAGAATACTGGAGTGGGTAGCCTTTCCCTTCTCCAGGGGATCTTCCCGACCCAGGAATCGAACTGGGGTCTCCTGCACTGCAGGCAGATTCTTTACCAACTGAGCTATCAGGAAAGCCTGAGGAAGCCTGCCTGCAAAGGACTTTCACGGGCTCACTCTTAGGCAGAATGACTGTGGTTGCTCTCTCTGGAGGCTGAGTCATGCATCTGTAGACCCCTGGAGGGTGTGGTCACAGGAGCTGATGCCCTGGGAGGTGAGACCCAGACCAGAGGCACCACCTGGTCGCAGGCCTCGGCTGGAAGACCCCATCTGGGAAAGAGCCTGCCTTAGTGCAGGTGAAGCTTTTCTGATTCCTCTCGACCAGCACCACCTTCATCCTCCCTGGGTCAAGAGAATACTTGTCTTGACCCAGAAGGACGCCCACAAACACTTTCCAAATACAGTGTGCTGCTTTTAATCTTTTTTGGTGAAGCCGTTAACTGAGTCAAATGCAAACTCACCCTGCTAAACAGGTATTAAGAGAATATTTAGGGATCTTCTATGTAAACCCTTTGAAATAACGCCATTGGGAACTCACAGGCTTTCTTTGACTCCATCTCAAGCATTGGCAAGGCAGAAAAGTATATACTCTCGTCTTTCTGCTTGTGAATATTGCCTATTAACCCCCAGAGGTTGCGTGTGAGCTACTGTACTTAACCTAACTCTCCAAAAATAAGGGGCTCATGATTTTCTTTAAATTGGCACTTATGCAGTGGAATCTCTCAGACGTTAGCGCTCACTTGATTGCATTCAGACACCACTTTGGCAAGGGAATGACTACATTAAATTAGCATCAAGCACAATGAATGGTAATTGCAAGACTGTCATTTCTACAAGTGCCAAATTAATGTGTTCTGCAAACCCTTCCCATTGTGTGACACCGGAAAACCATGGAACCATGTTGTTGCAAGTGGGAGAATGCTCTGTAACAGCAGGGCTAATATGCTGTGGATTATTCAGCAATAGTGTTCCTTTCCACCTTTGTTGCTGTCTCACACTAATCCTTCAAGCCCCGTCTGACCTAATTTATATGCTTACATGACAGCACTGTCAGAGAGTGGCCTGGCTGTACAGAGAATGTTAGGGAACAATTCCTCCTTCTGTGTGGCATCTCGTGTGAATAATGCCAGCACAAACAACCCTCCATGTATTCATGAGAGTGTGAATAGGCTACTTAGGTAAAGCTTCTTATAAAGAGATGCACCAACCATTTACAGAAAACTTTACCCAAACACCATACACTCATTTAGAAAGAGAAGAGTGAGTTACGTGCATTTCAATTGTAGCTTGACAAGAGGGTCAGCTCTGCCTTTCCCAGCTCTCTTGTTTACAAGTGGGAAAGAAGCCACAGGTCAGTTGAATGAATTTCTTCTGGTTACACAAGATCACCAGGTGCATCCTGAATGATAGCAGCCATATACACCAGGTTCTTGGAGTCAACTGACTGGCTTTGCAGAGTTTATTAGGGGTTACTCATTCAAGACTGAAATAAGGCAGCAACATTGTTAGATGTTACTGCATTATTAGATGCAGTATCTCAGTATTCCTGCACTTTTGTGGGGGCTGAGAACCCGCCACTGAGGTGTCCTATAGAAGAGTGATAAAAAATGATAGTGACAAGAATTGAACAGAGGGGCTTTCTTGTGAGTCCAACGTGAATTCATTCTCTTAGCAGCTGGGGGAGGAGTGGACATGAAGACCATTGGGCAGCACAGATTGAGTCACTGCATGTATGGGTCCAAGCAAGCAAGAGGATCAGGCCCATCACTGACCCCTTTCAATGGTACTTACTTTATTCCTCATCCTTAAGGCATGACATGGCTATTTGCTCTGTAATGCTGTAGTCACTACAAAGTTTGCTTAAATTTAGGGGGAAACTCTGCACCACACTTAAAGCTTTTCTCTTCTTAATGAACAACAAAGATGAGGGATTGTTTTAGGGGACTTCCTACTTATGATGGGAGAAGAATTCCAAAACAATTTACCCTTGGAGTGAAGAACCCTTATGCCAGCTGAAGAGCAATTCAACCGATGATCTGGGCTTCAAAGACACCTAACCACGGCTCTGGAAACTGGTTCTGACCTACCTTTGTTGCAAAATGTTCCGTCATAGGCTGTGTTGGAGCAATCGCAGGAATAGCCGTGGTACTTCTCTATGCACTTGCCGCCGTTCTCACAGTTGGCCCCGTAGCTGGTGCAGTGGCCTGAGCACCCGGATTTGAAACCAGATGTGACCTTGGCTCTCTCTTCCAAATCCAGTGTCACCCCATTCATCCTTAGGGAGCGGATGCAGCCCAGGAAGCCTTGCTGGCCTCCAGCACCACCTGGGAAGACAGAAGCCATGGAGCTCAGACAGAATCCCCTCTGCCACGGCTTCTATTTCATTCCTCATGCCTCGGACCGCTGTGGCAGGAGATGAGACTGCCAAGTGCTGCAGGCACTCTTACGGTCAAGTTGCTCCTGTCTAATACAAGAGCTTGCAACTTTCCCCCTTAGGCTATAACGGTGAAAAGAGGCTGTCTTGGGAGGAGCAATAAATTTGCTACAGAACTAAAATGCTTGGAGACACACACAAATTTTATAAGCTGTTTTGGAAGTCTAATCTGGTTTCCTTAGGAGAGAAGTTTATAGGAATCTCTAAGTTCTTTGGTTTTTAATCTCACAGTGTTACATTCCACAGCATTATCTACTGAAGAGATATAAAAAGGCAGAGGGACATGAATATATTAGCATAGTTAACAAGTCAATTAGTCAGAAGAAGTAAATCCATTTGGAATGTGATTGTAAGTCCTGGTTCTTCTTGTCTCAAGAAAAGCTTTGCTTTGAAATTCATGTTAAGGATTCCCAGAGCTTCTTGTCTGGGGTTGTTGGAAATTGGAATTGATGATTTCACACAGAAGTCAGCTATACCACATTTATTACCAGGTCAGTTTAGATTTTATTGCCTTTGTTTCAATGCTATTTCAAGTCACATAACACAAAAAGCAAGTTCACTGTGATTTTCTGAGTAAGTTATGGAGTTAGAGGTTTATGAGCATGAAAATATTAAAATATTCTTAACAAATTTCATAGCAGAATTCATTGGAGGATTGTTAATGTATCACAAGTGGATTGTGTCTATAATAACCTTTGCTATGATTTTTTAAGCAGCTGGTACAAAAAAAGAGGAACTCAAATTTATAAATGTGCCTGGGTTTTAGACTAACAGCTCTTCTGGAAATTAAATACAATGATAGATAAAGTAAAGTAAAGTGAAGTCGCTCAGTCGTGAGTTCTGTGATGATCGTCTAATACAGAAGAACTTCATGGTCTGGGGGCCACAGACATACATGTTTCTGAGGTATAGATTTGGATGTCTTTAAAGATGGCATGGTCAATAGGATTGGCAGACTTTGGGTAAGGTTGCACACTGGAGATAGATTCTGATCACTTATTCCAGCATCTTGAGAAAAAATGTGCGATAACATGACTCATCAGACAGGGCTGGTGGATCAGAGGCTTTAGTTGCAGAGACGGATTAGCCTTTGTTTATGCCTGTGTATCCTTAGCCGTGAAACAGCAAATGACTTGTGCTACTATCTTTGTAAACCCAAGCCTGGCAGTTCTCTCATTGGGTAGTATTGAAATTTGAGCGATGATTCTCCAGGGATTATTCCTTTTAATAAAAATATTTAAATAGAAGAGGATTAATTGAAGGGAGTCCAATGCCCATTTTGATCAAAGCTGTGGGAGAGTAGATGGCAAAAGAAGTTACTAAAAACAACCACTTTAAAGGATTTCCCATTTTGCAATCTGCTCATCCACACCTCTGCACACCTCTGGGTTGCGGAGAATTTGGGCCTTTGCTATGATATGGAAGAATTTCAATCCATGAGTCGCCATTTGTGTACTAAAATTTCCATTTGGCATCTATCATTTTATCAGCTATGGCTTTTGTTCTTGCAATAAGGGTTTTTCCAAGGGGCCTTTTGTTCAATAAATGTCTCATCATTTAAATTTTCATCACTACTCAATTAAGACAATTATATCCTGCCAAAATATGCTGAAATTTTTAAATTGGTGTTTTTAGATGTCTGCCTCTCCTTTCCCCTGGTTACAAATATAATAGTTTTTCATTGTGAAAACCATAAAGTCACTGATAAGCAAAATGAAAAAGAGAATCTGTAATGCTCCTCAGATAGAATTACTTTCATTCTTAGCAAATAGCTTTTCCCACTTTTATCTATGAACATACCTATGTGAAAAAAATAAAACAAAGGAAAAAGCGGTATGTGCATTGCTTTGAAATTTGCTTTTTTCATTTAACATATCATAAAACACTTCCCCAGCAATAAATATTCAAATAGAACATCTTGTTTAACATCTGCACAGCAGCCCATCCTGCAAAACACTATAAGTTATTTTGTCATTCCCCTAACTTTGGGCTTTAAGCAGCTTATTCCAATTTCCACTGTATATGATACTGTAATAAACAGCCTTGTAAAAACCTTTACATGCTGTCCAGTTTTTCCTTAGAATTCTCAGAAGTGTAATTGCTGGGTATAGGGAATATACATTTTAAAGTCATTTACAATGTATTTCCCTCTTAGAAGACTTTATCAATTTGCATTATATTTTACCAGTAGGGTATCAGACTCCTGTCTTCTCCACAATAATTCTAATACTAGGCAGAATCTTTTTGAATTTATAGGCTGGAGGGAGGGGAAAGAGTTTATTCTTTTAATTGGCATTGCTTCCATACTGTGAGTTGAATAATTTTTTTTTTCTCATTTCTATTTTTTGGCTTCTTCATGATCTTTGTTTTTTGGGGGGAAGTGGAGAAGGGAATAGCAACCCACTCCAGTATTCTTGCCTGGAGAATCCTATGGACAGCAGAGCCTGGTGGGCTACAGTCCACGGGGTCGCAAAGAATCAGACATGGCTGAGTGACTAATACTACATACAGGAGAAGATACATTTCTTGTTGATTGATAACAATATTTGGGGCTTTAATTTTTTGTTATAAATTTGGCAACTATATCCTTTCAGTTTGCATCTGTTAACCTGTACATAATGTTTCTTTTTCCCTATGAAAGATTTTGATGTTTATGTAGTCACATCTATCTATCTGTCTTATTTTTATGATTTCTGCCTTTGATACTAGGCTTATAATTACTTTTTCCAATCCAAAATAACATAATTTTTCAACTATATTTTCTTCTAGAACTTTTATGATTTTACTTCTTTTAATATTTCATTCTTTAATCTATCTGGGATGTATATTAATTTTGAAATAATTCAAATTTAAGGGTGTCAACAATGGTTGAGAGTTTAAAGAGATTTGTTAAAAGACTCTAAATGACAATCTGATAAAAATGGAGATTTAGAAAGGTTCAGTTGGCAGAGAAAGTACATATAAAGTCATAGTTTAATTGTATCAAAATAAATATTTAGATATATGTGTATATGCTTCATTATGTACATAAACAAACTTCATTCAGTAAGAGGATTGAGCCTCTTTGATTCATTCTGGACCTGTTCTTTCTGAGTTCTTACACCTGCCAGTCTTTCTTCCTGCCTTCGTGTTTGTATGTCTCTCTTCCTATTGACCACTGACCGTCTTGGGTTAGCTCTGTGGCTTCAATCAAATCGCGGCATCCCTCTCTCAGGGTCAGTCTTTCCTCTCCATAAAGGAGGCTGCACTGGATGTCTCTGGTCCTTCCAGCTCTGAATTACTCTGGTCCATGATGTACAATCTCTCTCTGTAGGCTTGTGTGTCTCCCTCTCTACATTTCAGCAAATTACTCTCAATTTCTCCTAAATTTCTTTTTGCTTCCTTTCCCCTCTTTGCACTGCTGCCTGACCTTCCCCCCTTCTTTCCTTAATTGACCATAACATATGGCTACAGTCTAATTTGTATTTGTTGCATTTATTAAATAAAGTTTTATACTATTTTCTTAATTTATAAAGAAGGCAGAATGCCATTCCCCTCTCTATAAAGGAAAACCAAATAACTTACATTCTTTTTTTAGATGGTCCCTGACTTATGAAATGGGTCAGTGAGCTGGAAAGTACTTTTACTGACCTAGTCAATATGAAGAAAAATCTTTTGTCCTGAAAATGGTCATTAAATATTATGCAAAGGACGCTAATGCACTAGAACCAGTGATAATTATTTGAGTTCAAGTTGTGTGCTCTATAGAAATCTGTCTTGGTGACAAATGTCATAAGTTTAAATTGTAGGTCTGCAAGCAAAAATGCTACTTAACCTTCGTTAATTAGAAAATCAACACATTGTCATTGAAGAGAGCCCCCTGCCACGTGAGGGCCTCACACACATTAGTCAGACCTCTGATAATTACCCAAGGGGAGACGTGGGTTTAATTTGTAAATCATTTTTCATGTGAAATGCTATTCAAGTATTGCAATTAAAGATTAATTATGAAAATTCTGTAACTACCCATAATGAATAATACAGTCATCAAAGGTACAGAAGATTGGGGCAAAATAATCAGGTATTAAATTAAACATAAAGGGTGAAACTAATGATCAGGAGGAATTCTAAAAAACACTGTCCTCAAACTAGGAGCTTAATAGTTTTCTAAGGAGCTAAGTTGGGTTCCAGAGCACCTATGCCCAGAGAGACAGGTCAGTCACTCGCCATAGAGAGAAACTTCACCGAAGCTCTCACACACAGAATCTAATTTATCCGTTCAATAAGTACTAATTTTATGGCTCCTGAGCCTCGCCTAGATGTTTAGAAGGTATTGTGACACAAAACACGCAAGTCTTTGCTCTTGCAGAGCTTACATTCTTGCCAAGGGAGAAGGAAATTTAGCAATAAGCTCAGTAAGTCATCCTGTGTTTGAAGTCAGTCTGGGTTAAGTGGGATCTGGAGTGGGGTGGGGGAGACCCTTATTTTATTTATTTGTTTTTGGTTTTTGGCCATGCCACATGGGATCTTTGTACCCAGACCAGGGACAGGAGGGATGGAAGGGTGGAGTCTAACCTGGACCACCAAGGAAGTCCCAGGCAGATTCCTGTTTTAAAAAGAACACTTAGGGCACATCCCACTGAGAAACTGACAGAACGACTATCCAAGGGCATAGCCCTGGGAAGACAGAGGTAAGGGGGCACTCCCCTGCAGGCAGGGTGAGGGTGGGGAGGGCAGGGAGGTGAGACAGGAACTGCCAAGAGAAGCAAAGCCACCAGGTCACGTGTTAAGGTGCTGGGAGGAGGAGTCCCCTGCTGGTCCAGTGGCTGAGAATCTCCCTGTCAATGCAGGGGACACGGGTTCAATCCCTGGTTGGGGAAGATCCCAGAGCAGTGAGGCAACTTAGCCCGT